GCCTAGTTATTCCAATAATCCTCATAATACAATTGTTATTGTTTTTTTTATCATTACACTGTAGACATTAATATTTAAATTAAAATTATAGTTAAAATATAAATTATTTTAGAAATTGTGGTAAAGAGGCGTTACATTTATTTTGCCCCCGACGTCTTTAACTCTTAATCTGTCACTGGGCCTCGTGTACAGTGTGATTTAACACCCATTCGATGTAAGGCACATAAGTAAGCCACTCACTATTGTGTTCAGAACAGTAAGACCGGAAAAGTCTACCAAGTTCACGCATCACCCGTTCTGCTGGGTTTGACTGTGGGTGGAACAGAAGTAAATGTTGGGGGAATACCTATATGGGACAACCAATTCTGCCATGATTTACTGTTAAATTGAGCGCCATTATCGGAGACAATTAATTTAGGTTTAACATAAGTAGAAATATAATGATCGATCATACGATTAGTCGTAGCAAGTTTGTAGCTCGTTTCGATGGATATAGTTTGACAAACCTTGAAAAATTGTCCAGGGCTACAAAAACATACGATACACTATTCCAGCAAGAGGGAAGAGGACCATAAATATCAACGAATGTACGATCCAGTGGATTTGAAGATATAGCACTTTGCATTACTCCTTCAGACCGAACCGTGCGACATTTAGTACGTTGGCATAGATCACAGCGCGCTAGAATGAACGAATCCGACGGTGTAAGTTTGGAAAATGGCACACTTCTTTCAGTACTGCAGCATATTTTCTGGCACCAACATGTCCATAAAACTCATGTACAGAAACGACTACCGATAGCTGATGAACCGAGGGGATACAAACAAGCTATTGTTCACTAGAAGGAAATCGCCGAAAAAATAATACACCGTTGTGAATTTTATAAAATTTGTTATGTGTGCCTAATGGTGACTCAAGATCCATAAATATAATAGCTAAGCGAGAATCGGTGAATTGATCTCGCCTCACAGTTTTGAAACTATCAACCAGTTCTTTTGGGAATTTTGGTGGAACATCAATTGTTAAACGGAAGATGGAGGGCATATCATCGAGTGGGACTTCATGTCGACCCACTGGATCCCTAGACAAGGTGTCTATGATGTTATCTTTACCCGGACAGTGCTCAATATGAAGATCATACTCTTGCAGTAATAAGGTCCATCGGGAAAGTCGTGCATTACGAAGACGACAGTGGTATAAGAATATTAGGGCTTGATGGTCAGTGAAGACTGTTATTTTATGTCCCAAAATGAATACACGGAACTTTTGATAAGCAAAAACAACGGATAAAAGTTCAAGTTCAGTAATGGAAAAGTTCCGTTCGGCAATACACGACTTGCAAACGCTATTGTTCGACGTTCACCATTCTCAACCTGATATAGTTCAACGCCAAGCCCTATTTTTGAAGCATCGGTTTGAAGGCAAAAAGGTTGGGCGAAGTTAGTATGGACTAATACATGATTACCTAACGTGGCATTGACCTGATCGAATTGTTCCCGATTTTCAGCACTAACCGACCATGACTTATTCTTCAATAAATCAATCAACAGAGACATATGTGAAGCATGATGATCAGAAAATTTACGATAAAAATTACAGAACCCAATGAACGACTGCAACTCCTTATTATTTCGAGGATAAGGGAAATCATTTACGACCTCCAGTTTAGCAGGATCCATACGAATGTGGGAGGGTGTGACAATATGACCCAAAAATTTTATCTCTGGACGGATGAATTCACACTTTGAAAACTTGAGGGTCATACCAGATTGACGTATTTTTTCGAAAAGATTCCTTAATAGTAGAAGATGTGCCTCATACGTTGTATTTGACACCAACATATCATCGACGTAGACGTGAACATTCTCTTCCTGGTGGTAGGTTGATGCTGATGGTAACCTTAACGCGGCTTCTAGTCCTTATCCAAAAGCAGTGTTGCGAGATATTTAAACCAAAAGATAATCTCGTAAAAGAATATGTTCGTCCATCGTATACAAAAGATACATATTTACGGACCGATGGATGCAAAGGTATTTGCCAGTAACCCGATGAAAATCGAGACTAGAAAAAAAACGCATGCCGTGAAAACGAACGAGTAATTCATCAAGTGGTTGAGACGCGTCACGGGTTGGTACTATGATTTTATTGATTCGGTGGGCATCCAAACACAATCGAATGGATCCATCAGATTTTTTCACACATATTATGGGACTAGCATATGGTTATGAACTTCTTTCAATCACCCCCCACTCAAGCATACGGTTAAGTTCCTCTTCTACTGCAGGCCTTTGAGCATATGGAATTGGATATGGGCGGATCTTAAATGGCTCATCGCGAACAACATTAAAACGACCGGTATACAGCCTGTTACATCCTGAGCGATTACTAAATATGCAGTGATATTCGGATAATAAATCAAGGAGTTGAGACTTGTCAAGAAGAGACAGCGATGTGATACCTTGTATACGCTGTTGTATATTCTCAAATGGTTCAAGATGATCAGGACGATCTGAAAACTTGTCTGAAGGTTGATTTGATTTCAGAAGAATTGAGGTGGATGAGATAGGGCCTTGTGTTAGAGTGAAAATAACTGGGACATTAGTTCCAGGAATGTGACACGACGTAATGGGGTCAACACCAGGAGGTATCATCACTGGAGAGACCCGTTCTCGTTTTCCGACACATTCAGTTGGTTTACGCGAGGTCGCTGAAGAGAGGGAGGCGGTTCACGTTGGTGGTTATTCCGTGAGTCATCAAACCGTCGGTTATTGTTGTGGTATCGTCCACGATTATATTGTGAATTGCCGTGTCCTCGGGACTGATTGTAAAACTGTTGGTTATTCGGATGTGGATGATTATGATGCTGTATATTCTGTTGTCCATTGTTCTGGTATTGTTCGGGCTGTGGTTGGTCCCAAAAGAATAGCAGATCATCCTGGCAAGGTCGCCATCTATGACAGTTCGATCGTGGTTCGATCCAAAAAACTGTTTAATCGAACTGCCCCCGTGGCCGACCGCCGCTTTTGAGCAAGGTCGCCAACCACGAGCCGAGACCTTGATAGGCCGGAGCACCGTGGATTTGATTGTTCATTATAATAAATGCATACACCAGGAAGAATTAATAACGAAGGTAATACTAATAATAATAATAATAACTCAAGACACAGAAGTTATGTGAGAAAACTGATATATTGTGAAATTGGTGCCGAGAAAGCTCAACAGGGCGTACAACTCGGATATAATAAAAATAATTTACACAACGACGAGGCACAACAGATACTTATAGTATAATAATAAAATATGTATAACAACCATGCCTAGATCCCAATGGCTCCACTGAACGGCTACCGGTTGCAAGCGAAGAGAAGGAAAAAAGAAGAAAACGGTCGCCGCCGCTAAAACGGGTGGTGGGAAAAAGTATAATTCTAACATTGATTAAAATAGTTAGGTATTGTGATTAAGGTGTCGCCTGCGATGTGATTGTGAACAGAGGTGATGTGGCGTGCGGGTGGTGGTGCGGTGGATCTTAGGTGCAGTACACGCGGCGTATTTCATCTAACATACTATTCATTATCAGGAGGTATTTTTGTTACGTTACAAGGAGGCCCCTTAAATCCTGTCACCATTTCACCACACTGATCTGGCCACATAAACTCCACCTTTTAACTAACTTGTATCCTCCATGTAGTATACTCTTCATCAGATGTGTAAAGTGATAGGTATTTTGTTAATTTCCTGTTTCGGTTTATAATTTTCTGATATAAAATTATATAAGAGTATTTATTTGCATATCCTCAAAGTAATCAGACACTCATACTAAGTTGCATACTCCCTCCAGTTTCAGGAAACTTTTCGATTTATTTTAAAGGGATTCGATCAGACTGTGTTTTTTTACCAAAATAGATCAGTCATATGCCAATATTATACTAATTCGATAAGTAATGTGTAATCAAATTTGCTTTTTGAAAAGCTATCTTCATTTGTTATGAAGTTTACTTGAAAATTACTTTCCCATTCTTTTCATTTCAACGAATGAATTAAAATTATTACGTCAATAATATTGAACTAAAAAAATATAAGAAAGTGGTTTTCAAGTTAACTTCAAGAAGAATTAAAATATTCTTTCAAAATTAAGATGAATATCACATAGGTTATAGTTAATACAAAATTAGATAAAAGAAAAAAACAAAATAATTAATATTTGTGTATACCTCTGTGGCTCTGTTCACCTTAAGTTGACTCACTTCTCGGCGGAAACCTGTCGAGGCCACGCATGACACCGCCTCCTCGCATCGCTAGTGGAATGTATGTACGGCAGAAGCTGCCTACTATGACGAACACCGGTCACCGAACACCACGGACATATTACAGAAATGCGCAAAACTGGGATAATTACGGTGAACAGGGTAGATCCAGTGTTATATGAATAAAAAATAAAACTAAAACATCATTTATAATTATTAATAGTATAAATAAAATATTAAATAGTCTTTTGTAGTAGGTAATTTAAATAATTGATTTATTAATACTAAACACAGAGATGTTTACCAATGTTTTTATTTTAATAGATACTAATATACAGATAAATGAATTATGAACTACAAAATATTTAAAGAAACGTGATATAATTAAAATAAATTGCATTGATATTACATCAAACTATCAAATAATATTAAAATATTGAATATAAACATAATTTAAAACCAGCAAATTCTAATCTCTGAGGTTAAAAGGTCTATAAATCAAACAATATATTAAAATGTTTAATTGTTTTATGTCAACTAAAATATGCTAAATTTTGTAGAGAATAAATTTCAAAACAGCTAATAACTTACAGATAAAATTTTAAACCTTATATTAAATTATAATTTGTAGCTAACAGTACACTTAACTAAAAATGTTTATAAAGAATATTATTACAAAAATATTGTTTATTATCTATTTAATATTTCATATACTCTTTTTTATTATTATTATTGATAGTACATAGGTACCAATGTAATTGTACTCTTTTATATTTCTCTTATTGATTTTAAAAGTTTAAAATTACAATATTTGTTATTATACAAAATGTCAAATGCCAATGAAAAAATACAAATATATTTAAATAAAAGGAGTATTATATATCAAAAAACACTTAATTACTTGTTGTGTCAACAGTATTTCATGTTTTTAAATGAGAAAAATAAATTAAAGTACAAATTTTTTTGAATTGAGGGAATTATGTTGTACAGATACATTGCCAAATTGTAAATGGAATAATTTAATTAATTATACGTGAATTTAAAAAAAAAGATATTTATTGAATGTACATTTTTTTAAATTAATGTATTATTGAATTATTATAAGGATAATATTAATACTAGATTTTTAAGTGAACTAGATACTCATCAACGTCTATATCTGATGTTGAATATGCCAATAATTCAATCGGTGGTACTCAGGCATTACATGCTCATAATCTTTTTCAATGTCGACACGTAAGTTTTCCTCAATTACATAACTGAAAAAGAACGTTTTTGGTTGAAAAGTTATTTTCTTAGTTATCTAAACTGGATAATGTATACATTTTCTTTCTACAACAAATTGGTATAGTAAGAATTTAATTATTTTTTAAGGATATGAAAACCCATGGATCTAAATCTGAAGCGTTTTATAACGTATTATTACATAATATAATATAATATATATATTATGTATGGTGCGACGGTAAAAGGGAACAAGTCAATTTTGGCCATTTTTCGATTATAGAAATTTTTAGATTAGACGCCATCTAGTAGTAAAAACAATTGAACGTCTTTTCATATCTAAAATAAAATTATTGTTAGATTATTTATATTAGTCCGAGGTGAAAAATTAAACAAGTCATACTGATAATTTATAATGAGTGGGTAAAAAGGAATAAGTATTACCTGTTATACGCAGTATTTTCGTACATAAATGATAATTAAATATAATAATAATACTATCAAATTTTGTAATTTCTGAATCTAATATTAACTTTTAATCCATTAGTTGAGAGGTAAATAGTAATTTGGTGCTGTTTATAAATGTTATCGTGATCCATGGGCACCCATAGGAAACATTTTAGGGGGGGTCAAAATATAAAATTTCGGTAATAAGGTAATATTGTGGTAATATTTATTGAGCTACAAGTTCATAATATTTTTTTCCAGGGGGGGCAAGTGGCCTGTCTTGCCCCCCCCCCCCCAATGGGCGCCCATGTAGTGTTCTGTATTTAGTTACTTTTTTTAAAAATTAAATTGTCTGTATTAAAAAATAATACTTATTCTATTATTCTCAAAATGTCCAAACCAGTTATATCTAAAAGAAGTTATTTATTATGACAAAACAAGACTTCATTTGGTGTTCTTCTGCTGATTCAAAAAAGTCAAAATATAATAGACCGTTGAATTTTTAGTCTATTCCTAAACAACTTGAGATTGATAAAGTAAGTCACTAGGTTTTGTAAATAAAATTTAAATTATATTATGTAACTTTAGTACAAACTAATTTCTTTAAATATATTGGTTTTTAATTTATTTATTTTTCTTAAATTGATATTATTTGTGTAGGTAATAGACCATGTTTTGGTATTCTCAAAAGGCAATCTCAAAAAACATGGAAAAGGTGAATCTTTCAAGTTGAAAAATGACAGTTGAAGAATGTGAAGAATGGTTGAATCAATTGAAATCACCATCTACCCCATTGGAAGAACCGTACATACATTAATTACATGCACCAATATTAGTACAACATAATAGTAGTGTACAAATCAGTTCAAAGGTACAATATTTTTAGTTTCCTCACAATTTGTTATTTTAATCTTAATAATGCTATGATTGAATATTTCAATGTCGGTATAACAAATAACAATAAAATCTAGGAAAATATTCTATAAAGTGTTAAGCTCACAATATGTGAAATCAAGTGAAATAATAATTTATTTTCCATAAAAATACAAAAAAAACATAAATTTATAGCTACTTATTAGTAGTTATACTATTTATAGTCATATAAAAAAAAAGATACATTGAAACTTAAAAAAAAACTTATTTTTTTTAAAAAATAAGAAAAGATTAACATTAATATATCTAATTATGTATACTTAATTATTTTATAGATTTTATAGATATTTAAACCAAAGTCAATTTTTAATTGTTAACAAATAACACTTTAGGTTCCATTTATTTTTATTATAGTGTGCCTACACAACATTCATGATTATTATTAAAATTAATTAAGATTCATTGTTTTTAATTCGTTCTTATAAAATTATGTTGAGAATGTTGATGATTCAGATCTTGAACCCACCTATACTACACTTAACAATGATGTACCTGATTTGAACTTAGATTATTATCTCGATACTAAAAATCTACAAACTACTGCATTACCAAGAGAACATGACACAGTTGAAGCTAATGTTGAAAATATTGAAAATCGATTGAAATCTAAATCAAGATTAATTAGATCTGAAAGAAAATTAAAGACTAATTCAGGAAAGTCATACCTCACAGAAAGTGGGAAAGAAGTACCTAAAAGAAAAATAGTACAATTGGGTAATTGTCATTCAAAATGTACAGAAAAAATTGGCCAAGAACATATTCAAAATTTGTTCACCAAATATTGGCAAATGCAAGATAGAAATAGAAGAGCATTATAATTATCTGGACTTGTTAATTTTCAACTAAAAATTACTGAGAGAAAGAGACGATCTACTCCAGAAAAACAAAAAAAAAGGTCAATAACTTATAATTATCAAAAACCATTTAATTATAATGATAACATATTATTATTTTATTAGTTGTATGATAACGTTAAATGTTAATGTAATGTTGGCATCAGTGTCGCTCACCCACACATGACTCGTTACTTGTTGTGTGTGCCGTTGCGTTCGCCATTAAGTTAATATAATACTTCTTTTAAACGTGTCTTGTATTTTATTATAATGTCATATTAAAACCGCCTCATCTAAGTTTATAACATTAATGGTAAATTCATTTAAGTCTGTAAAGCTTATTTCTTAACAAATATTTGGAAAAAGTTTGAAGTTTATTTTGAGAATCTGTCAAATAAAAATTATAAGTGTAATAAACAAAACGACTAAAGACAAAGTAGGTCATTATCCAACTCCAAATAAAAAAAAGCACCAGAAGACATCAAATTAGTAAAAAAAAGTCTTAAGTGCCTACCTATGTATGAAACTCATGACTGCAGAAAAAAATTGTCAAAGTTATATTTCCCTTGCCACTTTTCTTTAAATAAACGCATTGAAATGTATTCAAAGAATCTCATTAATCTAGTTAGTAAGAAATTAAATGAGGAAATGTTTCATGAAGCTCATATAAAAATCAAGGAACCAAAAAAAGATACCTGTAATAAGTGTTATGTTTTAAAAATTCAGATACAAATGCAAACTGATGACCCTGAAAAATAGTATTATTAAAGGAACAAAAACAACACAATAAAATGGCTGGAATGGCTGAAATGGCAAAAAATATCATACAAAGCAAGTATGCAGATAGAAGATGATAAATTAGTTCTATCATTTGACCTGCTTACCGACACCATCAGTACATAATTTAGTTATTTTTTATAAGCGTCATTTTTTCAGTGTAATCTTACCATACATGAATACTTAAAAAGCAACCTGTATGCGGAATGAATTTATGGGAAAGAGAAGGGCAAATGAAATAACTTCCTGTGTTTATAACTATTTAATACATTTACCTGCTCAAATAGCACACGTTTGTTTGATTAGTAATTCATGTCCCGGTCAAAACAAAAATAGTATATTTTTGGCCATTTACTTTTACATTTTGAAAAAATCACCTCCTCTCGATGTCTTAGAACATAAATTTTTAGTATCAAGGAACACCCGAATAGTGTGATTTTGACCATGCCAAAATTGAAAAAGAAAAGGTTTAAGATGCACCAATTTATTAACCACATGACCAGGCACAACATATACTTTGCCTAACCTAGGAAAAGATTACTTTTTGAAGTAGTAGAACTAAAAATGAAAACACATGATTTTTTAAGTCCTTTGAAAACAGCTATTACTGGTATACAGATGAAAAAGAAAATAAAGATGGGGGCCATATAAAGAGGAAAAATATAAAATGGTTCAAATATGAGAAAACTATAGCGATGACAGTTATGTATAAAAATTCTCTAGAACCAGATGACGAGTTTTATTTCATAGATATGGTTAAGTATGGAAGGTATATACAAAACCCAACAGAATTTATAGTTCCTTTATGTTATTCAAACTCTAATAATATTTCTAAAGAGAAAAAAAAGATTTACTTTCCTTACTAAAATAAATTCCTGATTTATACCATGATTTTTATAAAAACCTTAGTTGTACCAATAATATTCAATATTCATTGGTTCGGGAGAAAAGTGACGAAGACTAAACAATAATATTATTTTGTTTAACATTAAGTAAATAATTGTTATAACATTTATTTTAATTATTAATTTTTAACATTGTGATTAGTCATTTTATTTCAGTAATATTTTATTTTTACTTTAAATATTTATAATATTATAGCATGTTACAAATTAGTAGTATTATGACTAGGTTTTTTTAAATTAATTTTGTTTTATTTTGTAATTTTGATAAATTTTAGACAACAATTAGTTTAAAAATTTAAAAATTTAAAATTATGTTGTTTTTTTATACAAAATGTAACAACTATATATACTAAGTACTTAAATACTTAGTATTATTTTACTTCAAATCAAACCATATTTGCCAAAAGAATATTATTATGCTTAAAAGATGATAAATCAAATAATATAATTGAATTATGAAATGTGTATAGAGAATAAGTCATGTATAAAAAGGAATAAGTCAGTATCATGATGTGTAAAAAGTAACATGTTACTGAAGTACTAAAATGAATTCAATTATCAATAGTACGGCTGGCGAAAAGTGAGCCGTGACCGTTACGTTCCTAGTGGTGTATTTAAGCGAAATCGCATATAATTGTGGAAGCCCTGATGAAATTCGGCCACCCGGAGCATTGGTATCGAGGCTCACTTTTCGCTGGCCACACTATAAATATCTTTTTATACAACGATAAAGTAACTCATAAGTTGACATTTTTGAAAAAAATCATTTTAAAAAAATTATTGAAGAAATGAGAAGTTCTTTTTGTTTCCTGAAAACTATCGATTTTTGATTTATTCCCTTTTACCTGCACACCGTCCAATTATTTATAAAATTATACCACATAAATTACAAATCAAATACTTACTCCATTAATTCATTCATGAATGCAGTAACACGAACGTTAAATTCAGTATGATGAGGTCTCATTTTATTGTACAACCTTGGGAGGCATACTGAAAACAAATAATATTAAAATATAAATTATATAATTAACACAAGATATATTTCATTCGTAAATAAGTATATAAACATTTTCGACAAGAAGTTGACTTGCAAACTACTTCTGCACTTTTTGAAAACTAAACTATTCAACCAAATAAATAATATAAAAATAGAAGATAATTGATTTCAAGTTAACTTCGTCAAGCATTAAAGCATATTTTCAGAAATCGTATTAGTCTTAACAACTGGCACAACATATAAAATATTTACTTAACTCAGAAAACATATCTAAGATAAAACCCAATCAACATCTGTCGTAAAATTGCTTTATATTGACTGAAAGATCTCTCAACTTCGACTGATGTTATTGGACAATATTGCATGTTGACTATGTCTAAAGGAGAAAGTTCTACATCTAATGAAGCTTCAGACGAAATACCAGTGGGAATACTCAACACAAATATCTTTCATTTCTGCTAGACCAGAATTTTTGTGTAATACATTTTTAAATTTAGCGTTGACAATATCGTCAATTGGTCCATGAACTTTTTCAAGTCCTTTTACCGCTCCTCTACTATACTTAAGCTTTCCACTAAAGTTAAGTCTCGAGTTTCTAATTTCGTAATGAAATCAACCAAAAAATAATAATTAACACAAATGTATACCTATTAATTAATTTTTTAAATCATTATTTTCTAAAAGAATTTCACCGTTTCCAATATACATTGAAGTAGTCACACAAGTTTGCCAACAACATTTTTGATTTCTTGGAAGTTTTGGCAATTATAATTAGTGGCATTCAACCAAGTGCCCCATCTAGTTATAATTGGTTGTGGAGGAAGACTTAAATCTGGGTACATATTATTAAATATTTCGATACGGCTAAGAGCTTTTAGAAATATCTTTTGGACTGAAGATATTAACTTTAATATTACTCGTCAACTTTTGTAAATTTTGATCTTAGAGTTTCTGCTATTCGGTGAAATGCGTGTGCTATTTAAAGTTAGGTGTATCATTTCTGGGAAAAAAGCATTTAATGCTTTACCGGCTTTTACCATGTATGGCGCTCAGATACAAATAATAATACATTCTCGCGCATAACTATTTCGGGCCATAACATACTCATAGAATTATTAAAAAATCTTGCAACAGTTTGGTGGTTGCATTTATCCAATTGTTAACAGTTTAGCAAAAAAGGTTTAGATTTATTGTCATTTAATTTTCCAATAATAATATTTGCAATAAATCTACATCGGTTGTTTTATTGATTGATACCCATATGTGTCCATCACCAATTGAATTTCAATATACATTATACACAAGTGTTTGTTTGTAAGTTGGTTGAATATAATTTTTTCTTAGTGTGCTTCATAAATCGATGTTGAATGTATAAGAAACTGAGGAAGACGTAAATGACAAAAAAATTTGTTTGAATTTCAGCTTTCTATTTTTGTTCTCTTTGTGCTTATTAGTTTGTAAATGTTGTGTCACCTGAAATCGTTGTTCAATTGCTATCGATTTTTCACAAGTAGCGCAATACATAATTTGACCGTCATTTATAAATCGTCATAAATCTACCATCTACATCGGTTGTTTCACGTAATTTACACGTAAATATAAAATAACCAACAACGGACACAGATTAAACCCACGAAATTAAAACACGGCCCGTTCGGTAAAGGTATACTGACTCGCTGACAGTACTTCAAACGCAAACATGTTTCAATAAATCGTTGTCTATCGTTTATTGAGGTCATAAATATCGAATATAATATATTGACAGTAGATTAAGTTTAATGATTGGTATTATTTTGTTACTGTTTTGTACTTTAGGATAAATGGGAAATTGTCTGAAATTAAAACATATGTAAAATAAAATATAGTTCATTTCATTTCATTGGAAAGACCTTGAAACGAATTAATCACTCACCTAAATTAATTTATCAAGTCATAACAAAAATATGTATTTACATATAAATTATATGATATTATTGAGTAACCTAACCTGTTATCAGATTTAAAATATTTAAATTTAAAACCATTGAATTTATATACCTCTCCCATTAATCAGATAATACAAATAATTAAAGATAAAAGTTGTTTTAAAAATATTGCATCACTTACCAATAAACCTGAAGAGATGAGCTAGACCATACAATTCAGACACTTGACGATTGGGATACTTTTTAATTATCTGAAAAATTAAATTAAAATAAATTTAACACCATCTATAGTATAAAAATAAAATATTTTGTGTATTATTTTGTATACATAATAAAAACAAGACATAAAAGTGTTTTTAAAAATGACATTAAATTTCAAGAGTTGTAAAATCATTATTAAAGGAACTCAATCTTTACTGTATTTGCTACGAAATCCACTCAAAATTGACAAAAATTTAAAGAATTTCGACTAATGCAAGGTGATCTTGTTAATAGATTCAAATATCTTTAAATTTTTGATTTATGATATAAATCAAACATTTGGAAATATTCATATTTTTTTCATAATTGACATGTGCAACATACACACATGAGTGTGTAATATGTATGATGCACTATGCAGATGATGTCAGGAAGAATACACTAAGAGGAGTTGTAAATGCAAGAAACAAAATAATTGCCTAAATATAACTCTAAAAATGCATATTTGTAGGGGCCAATTGGTAGCAATTAGTTATTTTAACCAAAACTTACTCAGCACATATTACTCAACTAAACAATAAAAAAATAATACATTATCAATCAACAATTTATTAAATAGGTGTTCAAATGCGCTTTTTACAGAATCCTTTGATAATTTGTGACCATTAAAAATTTGACCGCTAATAATATAAATAATGAATATATAATATGTGTATACAACATTACAATAAGTTTCTCAGAATACTTAATAACTTCCATCTAAATGAAATATTCTAATAAATTGGTGTAAATTGTAAACTTTGAATTATTTGTCAAACAATATGTACAATTTTCCTCGCTTTAGCACCTTAGTATGAAATTATTTAGTTGAAGAGAATACATCAAACTAGTATTAATTAAAAATTATTCAATACTTTTAGTAAAATACAGAAAATATAGTTGACATCAAAAAAATAATAATAATAATAATCTCTTCAAATTATTACTGAACTCATAATCTATAAATAGTGGAAGTTGAAACTATTGCGGCACTCTTCCTTTCCTCCCATTTAGAAAGCATAGTAAACAAATATTTAAAAATTAATAGCCAATAAAATTGGTTGAACTGGTTCGTGATTTTTATCCCAGATTTATTGTTAATTCTAGCAACAAAAATTTAATTTAATCTAATAGTTTATACTATTTTTCAGTAGACCAATTTATTTTGATATTTAAAATAACCAACTGAATTAATTGTACAGATTATAAACATTTTTTTTCACAATTATTGTTTTTTGAAAATTAAGGTATCATAAACAACAAGAAATTATATTTTCTTGTCTCAACTATAACCTACAATACCCAAATATACTTTTAATAGTCTTATTACATAGTAAAAATCAATATCATTAGGAAAATTTCACTCAATTGGAACACATATATAATATTTTTATTGCACAAAACTTAACTAGATACTGAATAGAAAATCTTATGATTAAAAAAAGTAAGGGTATAAAAGTATAGTTACTTCATCATACTGCAGTTTTTCAATGGAATATAAACACCACGCAGGTAATGCATGGTTAAAAGCGGTGAATATAAGATCCATGCTAAGATCAAAGTCTACACACCTACAAAAAAAACATGTTTCATAAAATATTTTTATACATTTAAAACAAATTTTTAAAAAGTAGTACACAAACAAGAAAATTTTTTTTGGTCAAAATTACTTGGGTATTTTAAATAAAACAACTATTCTCAACATTAATATGTAAGTAATAAGAAGTTAATAGTTACATAACAAAATATTCAAAATACTGAATTGCAATATAAATACCGTACCTACCTAGTTATATAGTTAGTTTTTGTTATTAACTCAACTATTGTCTTACAATTGTGTCAATGTAATATGTAAAATAAACACATAAAAAAAACAAAAACCATTTAAAATAACAGTACCATATACTTACAAATTTGCCTTTTTTTGGAAATCATGTAAAATTTGATGAACAGTAAGTGCAGCTGGTAATTTTGAAACCTGCAATCACAAATTTAAAAATATGTCAGTGCACTGTTTGTTCTCTCTGTTAAGCCCAAGCCCAACACCGACAAAATGCATTTACACGAATCATTTTTTTTGAGTAATCTCAGAGGAAAATCACCTATTACAAAAATGATAGTGAAATACATTTTTGAGGGTTTTAATCGATTTCCCTAAATATTGTCGTAAAACAATTTAAACATTTAAATTTACATTTTTGATAATCAAACAATATATAAAACCCATATGTCATACCAGTGGTACCCTAGCCTGCTACAAAACTATTACCTATTTCAATTTTTAATTTTTTGAACAGTCAATGACTGATAAGAAAACAAGTATAATATATTGTATACTTACTATGTGTGTAACAAAATTATATTATTAGATTAAGATTTAGATTATTTGTACTTTTATACTCCGTGGCTCACTCGAAGATAGTTGTTTACGAAAGTGGCATGGCAAGGAAAAAAAGTTGGACATCACAGGGTCTCATACTATAAAAAATATTATTCTATATAATTTTTATAATAGGTGATTTTATTCTAAGATTACTCAAAAACCATAAAAATGATACAAGGTGAAAGGATTTTATCTATGTTGCGAGTGACTCTGAGATAGAAAACAATTTTAACAAATATTGAGCTGCAATCCTTTTAACAATTAGAAATTCATGCATTTAAGAACATTTGTAAATATTCACATAACAAGTGGTTTTCATCAAGCGTTCATCCAACAAACGAGATTCTTTCATAATCGCTGGCGTTTTTATACCAATATGTTTCAATGAAGTACCGCCAATTTTTTCACGATGCTGAAACATAATTTGTTGGTTAATAAGTAAATTTAAATATTTTGATAGAAAATTTGAAGTTCAATTTTATATGTCAACATAATTTACAGTAAAATATACAGTACAATTTATTTTATTTTTATTCATTAACTAAGAAATTCCATTCCAGCAATTTTGTTTTTATTATTGTTAATAGCAACGTTTTTTAACCAGTGGAATGCGAAAAGCTTATAAGTGATAAGTTAAGAATTCTCTTTATATAAAAAATGAAATGAACCCATTATTAACTTCAAATATTTTATGGTTTATTTAATATTAATTATCATGTAAATAATAAATGTACAATGTACATATTTTATTTTATTTTTATCCATTTAATGCTTATATCATCATCCTAATAAAATAAAATCCCATTCATGTAAAATAACAAATACATTTTTGAAAAGCAAACAAAAAATTTAGTGGTGCATAAAAATTTTCAACCTATATACGTTGTATGGGAATATAAAAATGTTGAGAACCGCTGATTAATAGCATCAACAACAATGAGAAATGAGATTGACATAACTATTTACATTAAATATTCATTTTTTAACTATATTGAATTGTACATTTAAATTTTTTTTGAAAAGATATTTCGCTTTTGGTGTCTGAAAATGCACCAACTACTTCATTTACACTTTCAACGATACATGCACCCAATTTGGCATATTCAATAAGTTACATGATACATGAAAATCATTGCGACCAACAAAATAACAAGAGAACACCGACCAAGCTGGAATGGAGATGAATGGAAAAAGCATCCTCACTCAGTGCTACAAATACTTAAAAAATGAGCGATATTTCTGGCAGTCAAGGTGATGGAGCACGAACACATATATGTATAATATATAATTAACATACCATATTTTTAATATTTGCAAATTATTTCTTTTACTTTACAGACTTGTTTAGTGTCTAAAACTGTTTTATTGTTTCCCGAAAAACTACATTTTTGAATTTACTGCTTTTAATGACCGGATAGATATCAAAAAATGGATTGATAATACAGATAAAAGTGTGTCAGAATGGTGAAGAGAGGAAAACTGTTTTTATGATAGATCATATATTATGGATAGAACATAGAACTACTGTATTATTTATAAACGTGTACTACGTGTTGAAGATATTATTGTCAATGAGTCACAAAAGGTCTGACTTCTAATGCCCATGAGTTCAACGCATATTCATCATAAATTTATCACTTTTTTTAAAAAATATTTGTGGACATTTGGAATTTGAAATTTCTATACATTTTTATTCTAAAATTGTTGATGAAAAATTGTTTGCTGGGTAAAAAAGCATGAAAAATAAGGCAAGGGTTCTTTAAGTAATTTGAAAATATTAAAGATACAAAGGCACAATTTTTTATTTTTTGTAAGTTTTTGTAGTTCTAATTTTTACATAATCCCAAAAATTAGCAAAGAATTTCGTAGTTAAAAATATATAAAATATTACATTTTTATAACTAAGGGTTGAACATTTAACTCAATGTTTCTTATAACTCATAAGTAGATCATACTGAAATCAAAGAATTTAAAAATAGTTGAAACAGATTTTTTGTATAAATAATTATAAAGGTATTTAAATGAAGAATAATAGTTGTTGTAATTTTGTTGTAATTTAAAAATATTATTATTGTTATTTGTGAGTACTTGAAACTTTTAACGTATATTATTATATTTTATTCACACAATGACATTTTCAAATGCAATTAATAATAAGTGTATTAATCATAGTAAAATAAATTATTTTAATAGCAGTATAAATATTACAGTAGAACCTCGATTATCCGAACTAATTGGGACCGCACCTAGTTCGGATACGCAAAAGTTCGGATATTGGAAATTTAAAAAAAAAATTTAGAATTACGTATGTATTAACTATTTACTATTTTTATAATTAAATATTTATTATTGTTATTAATATTTTATTAGAATTACATACATAAATTACATTATCAAAAACATTATCATACATTATAAGAAATAGGTACATTACATTTATTTTATTTACATATGTATGTATTATATTTTTTTGACAAAATTATCAATTTTAATTTGGCGATGAGCTGCAACGCGCTTTTCTGCAGCCAAGTCTCGCAAACGTTTAAGGAGAAGTAATTGTGCTGGACAACATTCGGCCTGTTTTTCAAACCACTCAAGACCAGTTTCAAATGCAGCAAATGCTTCAGCAGATGTTGGTCCTTTTGGCGTACTCATACTTTCATCACTACTGCTGTCGTCACTTTCTTCATTTTGCAACGAAGAAATGATTTCATCGCTATCTAATATTTGATATCCTAGATCATTTACATCAGTTGCTAACCAATCAACAGCGTCATCATAATTACAGTCATTAAATCCTGGAATTTCATTAAATAAATCAACAAAATCATCAAGATTATTTAGATCAGTTATTTCTTCTTCGGTTTCTAACTCCATAGAAGCAACCCACAACTTCTTCCAAGCATTTCGTAAATTTTCCTCAGTCAAATTATCCCAGGCATCTGCTGCCATGTAACAGCAGTGTTTCAAATTCAATAATTTTGAAAATGCAACAACACTCTCTTCAGTGCCTTCATTTAATAAAAGTCTCCTCAACATTTGTTTTCGGTACATTCTTTTGAACTTTTCGATTACTCCCTGATCCATGGGTTGAATCAAAGACGTTACGTTTGGTGGAAAGAACATGACTTTATAATCTGGATCAATTAAATTTAATACTTCGGCGGATGGGTGAGTGGGTGCATTGTCTAGTAGGAGTAACACTTTACCTGTCTTGTGATGATCTTGACGCCATTTTTTTACATTTTTTATGAAATCATTTTCAAACCAATTAAGAAATAATTTAGAGTCCATCCAGGCATTTTTTTGAGCTGTATATGTAACCGGTAAACTTTTGATGTTCTTGAAACACCGTGGTTTCTTTGATTTTCCTATGAGTAGTAATGGCAATTTATGGGTCCCAGCCGCATTAGCGCATGTCATAATTGTTACTCTTTCTTTGGATACCTTAAAACCAGGCGCTGCATGTTCTTGGCAAGAAGCAAGTGATTTTCTTGGTAGTGCTTTCCAGTTTAAGCCACTTTCATCGGCATTGTAAACGGAATCTTGAGAATATCCTTCTTTTTCCACAAATAATTGGAATATTTGTTTAAAATTTTCAGCACTGCTTGAATCAGCTGATAATGATTCACCTTGAATTTGTAACTCACGTATTCCATGTCGAGATTTGAATTTATGAAGCCAGCCACTGCTGGCCTTAAAATCTTCAGTGCCCTTAAGTTTTGTATTCATCTCGAGAGCTTTTTCACATATGAGTGGTCCAGAAATTGGTTCATTTAAGCTTCGTTTTTGTATAAACCACATTTCCATTGCTTTGTCAAGATCTTGATATTTTGCGACTTTCATAACTTTCCTTCTTTTTATTCCATCACCACTATCCATCTTTGACGCAAAATCCATGATTGCATGACGGTTGTTTTTAATATCTGTAACTGTTGCTTTACCTATATTATAAAGACGGGCTAAAGATACGCTAGTCTCACCTTTATCCAGCTTAGCAAGAATTTCTATTTTTTGTTCCATCGTAAGAACATGACGTTTACGTTTATTAGACATTTTAAATACACTCGACAATCGTAATATATTTGTACGTACATATAACAATGTGTGTGCGGTAGAGACCCGAACTAAACTGACAAGTAAAACACGAGGACGTCGTTTAGATAAGCCTGTTGCGTTTTGGTTATCTACTAATGATTGACGCACGTAAAATACATAACCTGTACTAATAATAATCCAAAAAGGCAAAAACGATAGTTATGATAAATTCGATAAACCGGCCGACCGGCCGGATACGAATTTTCATGTTCGGATAACAGAACGTTCGGATACGCTAATTATAGTTCGGATAATAGAGGGTTCGTATAACGGAGGTTCGGATAATCGAGGTTCTACTGTATATCATAAAATAGACTTTGTAGTGTAGGCTCAGAATCTGTGTTTTCACTCAGAACCATTTTTCATACGCCATTGTTTATTATTGAATTCAAATTTGACACATAAATTTAACTACTTACTTAATGATCAAACACACTCAAGACTTGAAAATTACTTTACATCATACAGCAGAACAATTACCTTCTTTCCCCTTGTTAAGTGTTAAGTACGGTGATTAATTTTTAAAAAGCCAAAAATATATGTACATTATAAAAAAGTCAATAAATAATATCATGAAAAGCTGTTTTAATCAGAATAAAAAGACAAAACTTAAATAGAGTTAAAATATAAAGTTATTATGTTGTACCTATATTATCATATCTAAATTAATTTTTATAGCTTTACCAGGAGAATATTTATCAACTCATTTGATATTTTAAGTATCTCAGTGTCATATAATAATGTAAACAAGACAAACAAGACTGAAAGACACATCATAACAGTTCAAGAAACAATAATATTAATGACGAGCTCCATTACCACTGTATTACTGATGATTGATAACTTTTCGATATCCCACACACCCGCCATGAGTCACGCTGCCACCATCAGTTATCAGAAAATGACAATATCAATAATAATTAAATTAGACATACAAAATTAAAATTTAACTCACACCACAAGAATAATATAATGTAGTACCATTTCTCTTGCTATTTGGCTGTTTCTTTTTTGTGAAATATATAGCAATCTTAGCCGCTGCTTCAATAGCTGCAGCTCTTGGTTTATCTAAAAAATATACATCTATTAATTGAAAACAAAACTATATGCAAATATATTTTAAATTTTTACTCCGACGTGTAACAGGCGTAACTATTTTATTGCATGCTGGTCTGTGACAAGAGTTTTTTTCAAGTGTGTGTTCATATCTCTGCTGATGTGTAAGTTGTTCATGACTTTGATCAAGAGTATATTCACGAGTGTGAACACGATTGTGTGTATGTTCATGGATAGTTGGTAACGCCAAACTTATATCATAAGCAATCAAATCTTCTCCTTCAACATTTTCTTCATCATAATCAATATCATCACTGTCATTATTGTTAACAACATTGACATAATTGGATGATCCACTTTGTTCGTTTTGATCAGTACTGTATAATTCTTCATGTACAGCAGCTTGTTTACCAAATTTTATTTCATCATAATTTTCGTCAACACTAATTTCGCTAATAGATACAGTGGATTCACTATCAGAAATGTCCATACTTTGGTCTGTGTGATTTATTTCTTCAACTTCTAGTGGTATCTTTTTAGAAATATTTAATTCTGAATTGTCTTCAGTAGTTGAACCATTTGCACATATTATCTTTCTTGTAGACCCCGAAATTGTATCTGAAAAAAAAAATTTTGCTGAATGAAAATTTGTGTGAGCGTTGCTGGACTGCGACTGATTGGATTTTGATGTAAATTAGTCACGAGGCCCTATGATAACCACAAAAATGTAACTGGTTGAAAAAACATACTGGAAACTGGAAATTGTATAAAATAAAAATGGTTGGATGGACAAACAAGTATTTTACCATTAATCACAACCTTTATATTGTTGAACTATTAGGATACTAGCAAAACCATTTTAATTAAATCACAATGGATTAAAACCTGTAATCATAACACTACAATACAAATAAGTCATAAATTACGGTTTTGAAATTACAAACTTATTTTGATACATGAATACATGATATTTGAAAACGATTGGAACCACCACTTATACATTTTTACTTGCCTTTTTAATATACCTTTTTCATTTGTGATAATATTTAGGGTAGGGTAAGGCGGGAAGCAATTCGTACAAAAATGTTTTGACTTCGGGCGGCAACTAGTGTGCTCCTAATAATAAAGACATATCATTATTTAATTTTATCGATTCCGTCTGTATAGGTTAGGTTATGATCTATCTTTTGGGTAGACTAAAAATAAACAATCGATTCCACCACTGAACCAGGAAAAAAATGATCTTCCTGAACAAAAATTATAGTTTGATCTAGTTGCGAAGCGTCATAGAAGACAACGAGACAACGTCTCCCCACTTAGATATTAGAACATGGGACAAATAAATAGAACCTAACCTAACCTAACGAATGAGAACGTGCGAACGGTCGACAAGTTTTATGGTGAGAGGGCGACGGGTGGAACAAGGACTATGTAATCACGGGAGTCGGAGGGATGAGTGTGTCATGGTCGCGGTGGCATGCCCGATCGACGCGACGGAGCGAGTTTGATGAGTACGCGGTCGCCACTCGTGATTCCGATAGCATCGTTAAGTGAGGGAAAGACAAATCGAGAGAGAGAGAGAACGAATGAGCGGAAAATTGAATACGATAATATAGATATATATTGTACACAATATTATGCACAATATTATTTGGGGTCTAGGACATTTCACCGCGACCGATTCGGCGCAGCCATTAAGCCGCAGACCGGTTCGCCACCGGACCATCTCGCCGCCGGACGTTTCGCCGCCGACATTTCTCGAGTTAAATATACCACCACAACTCGTACCAGAATATACCAGAGATCCAGCAGTGACACCACCAATAAGAAATAATTTACAGTGATGCCCTGTTAGCGGCACTCGTCGCTACGCTCCTCGGCGCCATCGGTCCGCTCCGCAAATCGAAAATATCCCTCGACTTGCTATGCAACACCACCTAAAGTTGGTCACTGTGTAACCGCTGTTATACCAGAGAACAACCACTCTTATCATTCAAAAGCTTATCACAACCGCTATCAAAATCGGTAGCGGCGAAACGGTGGCGGCGAAATGGCTGCGGCGAATCGGTCGCGACGAAATGTCCGGGTCCGTATTATTTGTACTAGGTATGTAGAGTTGCCCGTGAAAATAGATACGCACCGCCGCCTCACTGAAGACGATCAACAAACAATCGCAACAGGCATTGCCTTCACCAGAACAACAACGCAACACAACGGTGCATTAATCACTCAAAGGCGCAAAGACTACGACTCAAAAATAACATGACAAAAAAATAATATAATTCGTATTATAACATAAATAATATTATTATTGTTACCGGTATTATTTCACACGATGCTCTCCGAACCCCGACCCGTCCTGTAAGAATGGAATAGAACGCGCACCTTCTCTCTTCCCATACAAACGCTAACTGTACTCAATTACATAATACTGAAAAGTGAAAGGACACAAAATACTCGCGGCACTGCTATAATAATACAGTGAATCGTCTATTTAACAACAATTGTATGTTTAAAGAAATAATTTTGAGAAAATAACCTAATTAGTACCAAATTTATTTTAATTGCAAATTGCATAATATCATATTAAATCCAAAATGTTCTCCTACCACTCTATACGCAATATAGTATAGTAACTTAACCTGAGTTGTATCATGGCTAAATAACTAGGTATGACCGCAACTTCGTGATACGCAGGTGTCATGGCCGCCACTGGCAGTGCATATTATCACTTCGATTTATTAATTTACAAAACAAGAAAAAATTATTAATTCCACGGACAAATAAATCTAAAAACCACTACCAGCTGAGATTCCTCTCCATGCTAAATCATGCATATATAATATATATATATATAATGTATTGCATATTAGTACGAGCGCAGGCCTTAACTAAAGTGCGTCTCAATGCGATCATACGTAGTTATTACTTATTTAGCCATGAGTTGTATAATATGTTATTTATCAGTTATAAGCTAATAAAATTATGATAAAAAAAAATAGCAAGTTTTAAATCTAAGCACCTTCCATTACACACCTATACACATTGTATTCAATTTAAATAACTTCAAATATAAATAAGTCTTAAAAAGGTATATTTTACATATAGTAAATTTTTCTGATACCTTACTTCTAGTTTAGGGGACGCAAGTCGGCTGTATCATTATCATTTATATTATCCTATCACTAAAATAGATAATTATTATCGATTTATTATTAAACATCGAAGTATTTTTATCATAAATATTTTTAAATTAGTATTGATTTCTTAATATTTTAGGTACCTACATATTATTTATTAGTTGTAAAATTAACAAAAAAGAAATACTCTAATTAAGAAAATACATATTTACAAATTAACAAAATGAGTGTTCTTTATTTAGTATCCCCTGGATCGTATATATTGTACGTCATGTCATTTAAACGTTACATTTTAAAATTGCTCATTATCGATATTTTAGGAAATCATAAGTGAGTTAATATATATTAACATACCAGACAACAGTCATAAAATAGCAGATAGCTATCACCCACCAAAAAAAAAATTTAGATTTTAAATCACATTGAAATATATGAAAAAATATGTTATCTCTACATCAAAATCTTCAGCTACCTAAATCTTAACTATTTGCACTTATGAAAAAAAGTAGGTATGGTAAAATATATATGTTCACTAGTTATTTTATACATTAATATTTTTCACTATGTTTTGGTGTGAAATTATTGTATAATTGGTTTTTAGTTAATTAACTGTACCTACAACATAAATATTTCAGTTGTAAGATAAAGTTAATAGCGTAGACGTCACTCGTCTTGCAAGTCAGTTAGCTATGCTATTATTTCTAGTGTATGTCAAAAATATAAACTACAAACCTACTAATGTGGGAATCAAAATGGCAATTATATGTAATGAGTCATTACTAATGACTAAAAAGTCTTAAATACTGTGAGATTGAGAATACATTTTGACCTCTTGAATGCACCAAGTAGATTTACTTTTGTAACAGCAAAGATGGTGATGCCAAAAACTAGAGCATTTTTAATACCTCAAATGTTGTAACAGAAAAAAACACATTGTAAATACAATAAACTCATTGCTAAGCTCAGATTTAAAAAGCTGTATCTACTGGAACTCAAAAGACAAGAAGGCTATGACCTATTGTTGACCTTTTTGATTCAAACACAACTAACTATTTATTGAATTCTGGGACATAACTACTCAAGTAGTATGCGCCCTTATAAATTCAATTCCAACATCCAATCAAATAATATTATAACATGAATAGTAATTTTACACTTAGTATTTTTTTTGAAAAACACAAATTACGACTTAAAAACTTAATGACCTATTTCAAAGGTTAAAAATAAAATACTTATTACCTTTTATATTCAATAGTTCATTGAGCTCCGTCAGATCACATTTCAAATCCATATTTATTTTATTGTACTTGTCAGTCAATTTTGAAAACCTAAAATACAATAGGTACAAATTACAATACATTTCAGCATCTCAACTTTATAAAATTGGAGGACCTAAGATGTAGTATTAGCTTATAGGTCAACAATAATGATACAGGTACCTAACCTAACCTATATGGATAATTATATAGGACGTGATGTCAATTTTTATGAAAATTTTCAAAAAGTTGAAAATTATGAAAATTTTATAATTTCTTCACAATTCCCTTGTATTAATTGTTTGAGTTATTTCCACATTTTTACATTAACTAATTTTTATGAGTACTAATTAGTAATTAAAAATTATATTGTACCTAGTTTTAACATAATAAAATCACAACTATTAACAATATAAATATGTTGTGTTTAATATGTAGATACCAATATATTTTTATTTTAGTTCATATTCACAGTTGCTTGATTCCTAATTAAATAATAAATATTTGACAAACATATGTACCGTACAACCTAAAAAATTCATCACGTTAAGAAAATAACAATTTTTAAACAAAAGAAAAATGTTCAATTGCCGATTTTCAGACTTACATTTTCAGGTACCCATGAAATATTATTATAGGTAATAATTAATAGTATACTATGGTATACTATGTTTTCGTCAAAAATTAGTTCAGCATACCATACTACTAACTAATAGAACAAATATTGTTATCATAGTACTATAAAAAATTAAGAAATATCCTTAGAAATGGATGTTGACACATCATTATTGTATGAATTGATTAAACTTTGAACTTTTAGTTTAACAGATCCTTACCTAAATTACAAATACAGTAACCAGAGTCGGCTCCAGGGACATGGTGGGGTGGGGAAAGTCATAATTTTTTGGAAAACTTTCGATATTACAATGTATTTTTTATTTATTTTGTTATTAATAATATATAATTTTTTAGAAATACGGACTTGGAAGGGGCCCTAGGCCCTGACAGTGACCCACTCAATGAGCAGTTATACATAAAACCTACTATACAGAAGAGTGACTTCCTCAATTTTATTACATTAATACTCATATAGTATGCACTCTAACAAAAACTAGTTAAAAATAATATTAATTAATTTTATACTAGATTATAATTTATAAAAAGGTTCTTCTTATGCAATGTTAAAAAGCAAGACTAGAATTTATTTTTATTTTCATAAGCACAACTGACCAAAAATTAGTTTTAATATTTGTTTGAAAAAAAATCAAAATTGAATTAGTAATATTAGTATTATTATTAGTAGTGTGAAATAAAGGTTGTTGCTTCTGAGAAATAGAACAATATTATATTTTCTTGAGAATATTGTCTAACAGTTGATAACATGGGATAAAAGAATTTCAAATAAAAATATATCACATAGGTAAATTGCTACATTATGTACCCACAATCTGTTTTTGGGATACATTAATAATTATGTTATTGTATCATAAGAAACTTTGTTATAAAATATATTTTTGTTTGAAAAGTATTTACAATTACATTATTTAAAAACCAATATTATTGGAATATTGAGAAATGAATGCTATGTTACCTACTAGTTACGACCAAAAACTTTTGTTCGTAGAAACCTTTGTTAACAATTTCCCTTTGGGGCAGGTATTTCAGGTATTTTTCCCATTTTCAAAATATAAATAAAAATGAATGATGAATAATAAACATTCATAAGTGTATACATAATTTTCTTAAAAACAATTATAATCATATATACAACTAACATTATAATAACAACAAATTAAATAATAATTCTTAAAATAATGTATAATATAAACAAGTATTGATTGCCACAGGTAATAATAAATAATAAAACATTGTACAAATATTATTCTAGTAGAGAAATAATAATTTTGGATCGTTCACTAGTGAATAATAGTAGTAGTAGTATAAAATATACTATAGGTAAAAGTGTAAATTAACTTAACCTCCCATTATTATAGCACTACTGTTTTGTTAACTCCAGATTAGATTCCATCATCAAGGTATCCATATTATATTTAAATCTTTTGCAATAAAAAGATTTGTAGACATTGAACCAAAACTATTTGAATTGTATGAGTAACCTAAGTGATGGACTTCTGTCCAATAATAAGCCTTGGCCCAAAATGTTAGACCATTGTTACACAGTTGATGATTATGTCAAATTATACAACTACTATTATTTTTGAGTTTCTTGTCGATACAGCTATAATAATGTTAGCACATTTAGTACAAATTAAGCTTACTATCATGCACAATAGAAATACTAGATGCACAGTACTACCTATTGGCTATAATATACTCTATTTAGGAGAAGAGTGTACCGCTAGGCCACTGTAATCTGATTGTGTGGTCGCATCCTCACTTGTATATACACAACAATGTGTAATTGATGTTGATCGATAATGATTACTGAAGATTAACGTCCAATGTCAAAGTGTCTAATAGGAGGTTAAATGGGTTTGGCGGCTCGGTCTGCATAGGCGAAACCAATTTACTTTTAACCTAGTTAGACTATACATTTAACACCAATTTTGTATTAACACTATTAGTCAAAGTATAAGTACCGAACATTTAATAATAAAAGAAAAATGTATTTTATGCGATAGCAGTTTCCCAATTCAATTTCATGTATCAATCACACAATCGAATTAAGTGTATATTTTAAATAAACGATTACAAGACTTATCACAAATCACAAATAATTACTTACTCGTTCAAAATTATTCAATACCCAATGATAAATGTTGAAACAATATTTGACGATGAAAATTAGAATTCAACAAGTAAAAAACACTAAACTGTCAAAGGCAAAACCCAACATTCGTTTGATACCTAATTTATTAAGCTGAAATGACGATATTATTATTATTATTATTATCATTATCTAAACTGTCAAAGGCAAAACCCAACATTCGTTTGATACCTAATTTATTAAGCTGAAATGACGATAGTCCATGAGCAATGAGTAACTCCGACGCTACAAAGATTGAACTATTAATTACAAAATCACAAAGGCGGAGAATAGCGATTGATAAGAACGACTTCGAATGTTCGAAAAACACGCGTTCTTCTCATAGGCGTGACCAACATACAAAGATCAAAAATTGGATAAAGAGTTCACGACATCTATATACTTGTATTACGCCGTGAATTCGACGGATTATTATTATTATTATTATTATCATTATTAGCAGAGTAAATTGAATTTTATCCGCATCGCAAATAATATCAGCTCTTCGCTTTCTTGCCTTGTTGAATATATTTATAAATGTATAACTGGTAAATCGGGACAACTGGGGGATTAAGAGGACTCAGCCACCACCGATTGAGATTTAGACAAACAACCAAAAAAAAAAATAGTTAACCATGATTTTTTTTGTCTTATTTTATAGTTGTAAAACAGTGCATTATTCGCAGAAATTCGGTGAGTTATCGAAAACGGATATGCATTCTAACGGACAATAGTTTTCTTCAGGTGAATAGGTCCTTTTTATTGTTTCAACCAGCATAGGCTACATTAGCTACATCTGCAGACTTTGTCAACATCGGTGCTAGGTACCGAATTTCACACCAATCTCTCGAATTCCGTCCAGTTAGTATCTTAAAATAAATGTAACACAAATTCAGTCCCTAGTTGAATTATTAAGCATTATTGTTTTAGTGGTTTACAAACTTAAAGCTGTTATCCTCTGATGATTTTTAATTTGAACATCATAAAAATTAATCAAATAAAGATAATTATTTCATCATTACTAATGGACTGTTACTTTTGATTGATAGTCATAATATGCAAGTACTAAAATACCTATATAACTTATATATTATGATATAATGTATAGTAGTATTATGGTATGTTTAAATTTAAAAATTCCATTTATTTCTAAATTATGTAAGGCAGATGTAAATTGTATTTAACAATATTACTTAATAGTACTTTAGACACTGTACTTATGATTATCAACTGTAGGTGCAAAAATAACACAAATCGTGTCCCGAACGCAATTTCTTCAAAAGGTATGAATCTAATTTGGTATTCATGCACCTTTATTTAAAAATGTGTCTTTTACTGACAAATTAGTTACGTATTATATTCCATAGCTAAAATAAACCTAGCTAACCAATTATTGTATATTTATGTCTGTATATATATGATATACGACGACGAAACAAAGTTATAAGTTCTGATCGTCATACGTGTATAATGTTGTCCTTAGTCGTTATTATATATGAACTGCCTACATAGGTTATTAAACAAAATTATAAATAGGATAAAATACAATAAATTACATTTTTCTATAAAATATTATAACCAATGTTTTAATAGTTAAGAGATTGAAATTCATCAAAATCCAGAAAATTTGAGAATTATTTTTAGACTAGAAATTCATAAAAAAATTATTTTCATAGCTTAGATTAAACATTTTAGTAGAAGATTCTAAACAAGTTTTTTCACATCTATCAATAAAAAAGTTCACTGGACAGTATCATTAATTTTATATAAGCGTTTGGTTTTAAATTTTTTACGATATTTGATATTTAGTGGATTTTAATTATTAAATATAATTATTTAAAATTGTATGCTAGAATGACACACTGTTGCCGTTCAGAATCGTTTTTTGTATATAATGATTTATCTCGGAATTAAAATCTAACACATCCATTACAATGACATACTCGACCACCGACAACTATTGTATAGCATTATTGTGGTACCCACTTGTCCACCTTGTTTTGTACTTTTTAATAATCTTTAATAGTTTATTAAAAGAACAATCAAACTATGTACTAACGGTATTACGATGATCGGTGTGGCCATAAAATGTTTACGTACCGGGATTAAAGGATTACAGATAGCATCAGTATCTGTAAAGCACAACTGTACCTACAAGCAAATTTAAAATACGCTTAAGAGGATGCTATCCACGGATTTGTTCTCTCCGTCTTACTGTCTTCCGTCTTAATATTTGAAAACACAGCCAGAATCTTAAGGATTCCTAAAGGATAATATTAAAAAGTAACCTTTAACTTAACTTGGAATAAGAGTAGTGTAAAATAAATAAATATTTTTGTGGTTAAAACAAGCACATAGATATAGTGGAATACTGTAATATATAAATAATTTATATATGTATATACATATATATTCTTAATATACTCCTATACAACGAAAAATTCAATTTGCATGTATTGAATGATCTCGGAATTCGATGTGATCAAATCTGCCAAGTAACTGGATGGTTGAGAAATAGGGCCGATCTATCGATTCTAACCATTTCCTATATTTTTGTATTCAATTATCAGTTATCATCAATTTTTTAATCTAACAATAAAAAACACTATTCAGAGCGAAGACAATAATATTATATTATTAATTTCATCCGGGTTATAAAAATAAGTACAGGGAATTTTTAAAAGTACCTATCAACTAGTTCCAAACAGTTAACCGAAATCACCAGTAATAAATATATAATACAAAGATCACAGCGGCCGCGGCATCAATAAATCGTGTGGAAAGTAAAATATAATATAACAAATGGCCCGTTGTGTATTACCCAACCATCCTAACAGCTGTCACCTCGTGCTTGTCAGTTTTTTTTTAAATTAATCCCCTTGCCTGCAGCTGCAACAAAACCTGCCACATTCTGGCGCCAGACTATCGCTATCTTTATAGCTACAGTGCGTAGTATTGTATACTCTGCAACCTGTAGTTATTTTTATTTTATTATACCCTAATTATTTTGTATGTTTCCAATAGTTGTTTTCGATGATGAGGTTAAGCACTTGAGCGTTATACGTCTTCCGTAGCCTTGACAATTTACTACATATTTTATAAAGTAATATATCATGTTTTCAAATGGTTTATGCCTAATTCTCCGAAATTAGGTTTTTCGACCAAAAAACGAGTTTTTATTTTTTAATGGTTTTTTTTAAAAATGCCCGATTCGCCGACAACGATGATAATTTATGGTCTACATGCATCTTGGCATAGAGGACGAATATAAGTTTTCACACGAGGTATATAGCACTACATAGAAGATAAAAATCAACCACCCCCCCCCCCCCCCCCCCCATAGGTGTGCAATATATAATAAGTTCTCACACGAAAATTAAATATGAGAATTACAAATTTTCCTCCTACTTCATTCAGACTTAGGACTGACAACTAAAATGTAGATGGGTATACCAAGTTAAAATTATCAATTATTTTATTATTCGACTTACACAAGGGTTTTTTTTTGTGTGGGGATTTAAGTACTGGTATATTTTTTTAGGGAACTTATATAGATTAGAGGCGTCGGAGCTGGTGTGTTTTTAGTACAAAAACAAGTCTTACAGGAAAAACTATTACGATTACACCTCATAGAATAGTGCGATTTCGTTATTATTTTTTTTTTTTCAAATAAAAGAACATTTTACAGGTTGGATCCAAGCGCAATATTTAAAATTAAAATGATATAAGCTTAATTATGCATTTGATAATGTATAGTAAGATTATTTTTTATGAGAAAATTCAAGTGAATAATAATTTTGAGACAATTTAAGTAATCTTTTTAAAAAAAAATTACGTCAGGCAATTAGTTTGGGCTCCACGATTCAACTTTAACGATTGAGATTAGCCATCAACAGGGGCGCATGTAAACTCCGCTACAAGTACCTTTTTTTTTATGTAAACTCCACCAAGAAAAAAAAAGGTAAAATTGGGTTCATATAAACTTTATCAGTGAAGAAAATCAAGTCAAAGTATAAAATTAATATATAGGATAGATATCATGTACATTATTATAATATCCCAAAAAATATAAAAAAATTAATAAAAATAATAATTGTCAGAACAAATCATCCAAATTTTCATGTGTAGGTATTAATGTATTATCATAATAAATAATTTTAATAATCATAAAATATGTATCTAGCAACTTAGGTGTGTTATGTTATGTTATAATATGTGGAACTGTGAGCTAAAACTATGGGATACAATTTGTAGATATTCTGACATCTCAGTCTAATATAAATCCATTATCATAACTATTTATAACGTTCTCTAAAAATATCATTTTGGATTTTTGAGCTTCATTAGTTGAGATACATTATTAAGTTTTACATAAGTACTGTCGGAGTTTCCATATATCTATTACAGGTATGAAAATAAAAACGGCGGAGTTTCCATTACACCTTTATATCACCTTTTTATCTAACCTGTATTCTTGCGGAGTTTACAATCGCCCATCAACAGTAATTCCTTTTTTTCCAGTACCTACAATCCCTAATGTTCTTACCAGTGAGCTGTAGTGCACTTTTTTTATCTATTGTGACATTGCCTTTTTATTTCCACTATTTTACTAATGCGTATAACTTATTTAAAATTAAATCATAATAAACGATATCAGTAGGTACAAACATAGATAGTATGTTAACAATTTGAACAATTCATTTTTAATTTTTAATTTTTTACTAAAGGATATTATTTGTTTGTTATATTTTTGCTCAAAGACGAATTATTTTAATTAAATAGGTGCTTATAATTGTATTGATAGTGTGTATCTAGAGTTATTGCAAATTACTTCTCTAGATTTGGTTATTTGTATGAAAAAATGTATCGTATGGGGTTTAAATAAGGCTTATAATATTATTATAATATTGTTTCACAAGCTCACAGCGTTCGAATGAGTATTTTTTCTTTTCATTCCAGTGTTTGATGAACGTTGCAACACTAAACACACTCTAAGGACAGTGAGGACGTTCTTACCTCTTGGGTACTTCCAGATGGCGTTGATGGATTCATAAATCATAAAGTACACTATTAAAGACAAACTTAGTATAATATAGTAAATCTGTAACATAAAAGAAAAACCATATACTGCGACCTCCTAAAAATTACCAACTAGATTTAAATTTCTACAAGAAGGCTATTTTGAAGTTCATGATCAAAACATTTTTCTACTAGAAAAAGTGTCTTAAGCCAAAAAAATAAAAAAAAAAATACACATAGGTGTCATATGTGCACCTATGTATAACACTGCACATTATATACCAGTACC